AGTATGCCAACTGAATTCCTTTAAATACCCTAATAATTTTAGGTAGTCTTACCCTTAGTTATAAAAGTAGTATTTCTGTTCAGATGAATGGATGAAACTAATTTTGTTCAGCACATAGGTGCTAGGTTTAAAGTAAGACTGACTTGAAGAATTCTTGTTTTGTCTTATTTAGTTTGTAGCTAGCTACTGGGTGACTTTATTTGGTAAAAATGCCTTCAGCTGCAGTAGCAGTTTAAAATGTTGCCACTTAGTGAATATCTTTTTTTTTTTTAGATTAAAAGATTGGAAGACCCGTTTGAGCTACTTCTTGCAAAATTCATCCTCTCCTGGGAAGCCCAAAAATGGCAAGAAAAGCAAACAGCAAACCTTCATCAAGTAAGTTGAAAATCTTGTACTTGCAAATATGAATAGCTAGCTACTGTGCTGAAAAGAGGAACTCTGATGTGCACAAGCTAATGCGCAGAGTTTCTTTTGCAGGCCTTCTCCTGAGGAAGCACAACTGTGGTCAGAAGCATTTGATGAGCTGCTAGCCAGTAAATGTAAGTTAACCTGTTGAATTTGATCCATTTCAAGTATCACACGTCTAGAAAGGTGTTCACACAACAGAAGAGCAGATTGCCCAAGGGGAATTCAGCTTTACAATCACTAAAAACATAATGCCTATTTTTCTCCTTTATTTCCTAGTATTTAACCATGGAAATGCATGGTTTATTCACTGTAGGTAGCAAAGAAAAACTAGCCAAAATTGTAGTGGCAGTTGCTCTTCCTTGAGGTTGAATCAGCTTTTCCACTGCATACAATGTTTCCAGGAGGTTTAGTTCCCAGAGAATTTAGGTTCCCCTATAAATATTTGCATTAATAGCAAAGTTAAGTATTTCTATTTTTGTCGCAGTTGCCAACTTAAGCATTTTTCATCTTAGTCTTTAAAGAGCCAAATTCTGAGGATTACAAGTTTGAGTGAAATCGAGAAAATTGCTATTATCCAGAAATAATAAAATATAAGGGTGGGAGAATGGTAGTTCTGGAAAAAAATTAAGGGATTAATTGGTCACCCAATTCACATTCTGTATGCTTTTTTTCCCCCTCCCTTTTCCCCAGATGGTCTTGCTGCATTCAGGGCTTTTTTAAAATCTGAGTTTTGTGAAGAAAATATTGAATTCTGGCTGGCCTGTGAAGACTTCAAAAAAACCAAGTCACCCCAAAAACTGTCCTCCAAAGCAAGGAAAATATATACTGATTTCATAGAAAAAGAAGCTCCAAAAGAGGTGAGGGGGGGAAATAAAAGTTCTTCATTGCAGCATATTTTGAACATTCTTAGCACCAGACAAAAGACATCAAATTAAATTAAAAGGGGGGAGGAGTAAAATTGTTTTTAAAAACTAATTTTAGTTTTTAATTAGATTAATTTCATTTCTTCAGTGACCTGGCTAGTGAAGCTCATCACACATTGTAGTTTCTGCTTCTTGTTTTCAAATATCAAATAGGTATCAATCTCTAGCTCTGAATATGGAATAAACCACTTTTTTTTTTTAATTTCAGATAAACATAGACTTTCAGACCAAAACTCTGATTGCCCAAAACATACAAGAAGTTACAAGTGGCTGTTTTACAACTGCCCAGAAGAGGGTCTACAGCTTGATGGAGAACAACTCTTACCCGCGTTTCTTGGAGTCAGAATTCTACCAGGACTTGTGTAAAAAGCCACAGATCGCCACAGAGCCCCATGCCACCTGAGATGAGAAAGGGAGCCCAAAAGTGGAGGACATTTCATTTATTTCCTAAGGGGAAAGGCTGTGACCTGCCAAAAAGACTGACCTTGAACTTAGCCTGGGTGTTCAGGAAACATCACTCAGAACTATTGATTCAGAGTTAGTGAATCAGGAAGCTGGTAACTGTCTAGGAGAAGCTTGTATTGGGACAGCTTCCGTAGCTGTGTCCAGAACACAGGGAGAAAGTGGTCTGCATGTGGTGGGTCTCACACTGGGAAGGCAGGAATGTGAGACCCCAAGGTATGATGTGATACTGTTGGTCCAAAAGCATTTAAAAAATCAATAGGTCTGGGATTATGTGGCCTTAGCTAGCTGGCTGTGTATCTTTCCCTAAATCAGTCCGTGTTACCACATAGTGGTTTTAGTTTTAGTTATTTAGGAATAAGTAATATTAAAATGTTTACTGTGTGCAAAGGTGTTGAAGTTCTTAGGACTACAGATCATCAGTACTGTTGTCTCATGTAACACTAAAACTGAAACGGTCTGTGTTTGAATTGTTAAGTGGTTTAATAGAATGAGCGCTGTCGTGTAGGAAACTACATTGTCCGTGATGAGTGCCAAAAACTGTCCTGAAGGCAGCTAAACTTTGACGTGGTCTTTGAATACTTTTAATAAATTTATTTTGATAAATAATGTCGTTGAATATTGGTTCAGATGTAGAGATTTTTTTGTGGGTTGTGGGGAGGTGAGGGCTGTTAAACTGGAAATATGTTAGATACAAGGGAAACCTCTTTCCAGGAATGAAGAGGTATCCCAGGTGATGTGCCTATTCAATCTGAATTGACAGTGCTCAGCAATGAGAAGTGATAGGAGTATGTCTTCCCTGCAATTACCTCTTTTTTAAACCTAATAAGCATATGAAGACCAAGAGAAGTCAGACTAGCTCCTTAAAACCACCCTGGGATCAAACTTTCTAATATAACCTTGTTTAAAAAAAAAATTCAAGTTTATTGTTAATGAAAACAAAAAAAAAACATTGACCTTAAAGCCCTTCAAGGGTATCTACTAAAGACTAGCTAAGTATAAGAAGTAATATAATGGAGACAAAGCACCAGAATATTTCACATAATTCAGCTTCTCAAATGAAAAAAAATAAGGTGAAAGTAGGCCTGCCTTTTATATTTCCCTTGGTTCTAAGTTCCCCCACAGGGTACTGGCATGAACTTTCAAGATGCATACCTGAAATTGTTCACCTCCATGATCAATACAAAAATCAGAATTTTCCTGATTCTCCTGCCTTCATTTGGCCAATAAAGAATCTGGTTATGTTACTTTAGCTAATGATGAAGGCAAAAGAAGCACACTTTTGTTTCTTAATCTAGGAATGTGCTTTTTTCTGAGTTGATAGTGAGGGCCTTGAATCTGTTATTTTTCAGACTGGTTATTTAGAAAAGGAATACTCTTCTCCAGGAGGCTTCTTTTCCAACCTCCCTGATTACAGTCTTAATTTTTAAAAAGAGTAAGAGCCCTCATCTCAGATTTGCAAGACCTAAACCTAAGTAATAATTTCTCATAGCTTTGTGACCTCAGAAGTCCTCATCTTCCCTAGTTCCTCAATGTACACCTTCCTTTCTATCCCACTGCCCATGAGGTACTAAGGGGCTTTAGAAATTGTAAAGCACTTAAAAAAAAAAAAAAAAAAAAACACATCCTGATTTGCCAAAAGAACAATTGACGGGCGCCTGGGTGGCTCAGGTCATGATCTCCAGATCCTGGGATTGAGTCCCACATCTGGCTCCCTGCTCAGCAGGGAGTCTGCTTCTCCCTCTGCCCCTCCCCCAGGTCGTGCGCTCTCTCTTCCTCTCTCTCACGCTCTCTCTCTCTTAAATAAATAAATAAAATCTTTAAAAAAAAATTTACACCACCACCATCACCCCCACCACCCCCATGGTTTAAATACTGTTTTCATTGTGCTTCCACTAATTTTCATTTTAGCCAAAGTGTCTGGTACTGACAGGCGTAAGGTCCATGAAAGACTGCCCCCTGCACTCCTGCATCACCAGCAACCAGGATATTACAGAATAGGTGCTCTGTAAATAGTGGTTGAATCAATGAATTCTGAAGCGTTATTGACAGAGACATTTTTTAAGAGAATAAATATGTCAGGTCTGCCTATGCCTTAATTTGGAAAGGTTTTGGCCAACAGAGAAACTCAGGAGTCATAACATATATTCAATTCGTTACCAAGTCCTATTTATTTAGCTCAAATATATTTCTAGCCTACTTTCCGTGGCCACCCTGAACAAAGATGCCAACATCTGATGCCTGTCGAAACTCAGCTCATTCTTACCCCTTCCCCCATGTGTCCCCTGCTTTTTAACTCTGGGAATCCTTTCAAAACATAAGCCTGATCGCAATTGTCTCTTGTTGCTTACAAACCCTTGACAGGTTTTCCAAACAATTAGGATAAAGGCATTATCCCTAATATGGCCTAACACCTGCATGGTTTGACCCCTCCCTCCACTCCAACCCCGTGTTCGCCATGTCTCCCCAGCTCTGCTGGCCACACTGACCTACTTCCGTTTCCGCTGCAGGTCGCGTGCCCACTGGTCCACAGAGCCTTTGCACATAATAGTCCTTCTGCGTGGAATGCAATTTTAGCTCTTATTCATCATTCACAGATCAGTGCAATTGTCACTTCCCTAGGGGAGCTTTCCCTGACCTCCTTACCTAGGTCGGATCCCTTTTTAGACATTCTCATAGCACGAGCTTCTCTAATTTAGAGTGCTAATAGAATTCTCACTAATTTGTAGGATTATTTGATAATTCTATGACTTCTTCAGATTGTGGATAGCACAATTTGAGGGCTGTGTTTTTTGATGCTCATTGATGAATCCCAACACTTTGCCTGACACACAGTGGAAGCTGCATAAGTCATTGCTAAATAAATGAAGGAGTATTAAAAGGTCTTATAAATAAGTTTTGATGAAACAAGAAGTATCTACCAATGCACAAGGAAATAATTACAAGGTTTTAAAAGGCCCATTGGCTCAAATGTCTGAAAATATCTGTAGAGTTTTACCTTTGGCAAAAAAATCAATACCTCTTATTCAGCACGTTCTCTATAACTTTTGGCCTTTAGTCAGAGGAGAGGCCAGATTATAGTAACAAAAAACAAGAGTTTTGACTTTTTCAGGGCTGCTAAAAGCAAAAGCTTTATTCAGGTGGTATTTTCCAATGTTCTCTAGTGTGGAACAAACAGAAATAGATTTAAGATTAGAAGCCACATACCTCCACAAATAAATATTACTTAATGTTCCAGTTTCTCAGAGTTCATGCATTTAGGATCCACAGTCTATTCATTTTGATAGTATTTCATTTTTTCATATATTTTAAGCTCAGGAGCATTTCAAAATACAGCAACTTCATGCAGTCCCACTGAAAAAAAAAATAGAATTGTGTATTATCTGTCATGTGAGCATAGGGAGGCAATAGATGAGTTTCAGGGACGTGGCTTAAAGCAGTCACTCAAAATTTCATAGGAAATGGGTCTTTGAGAGGGTTTTTTTGTGTGTTTATCTGTTTTGCCACAATGTTTGATCAGTGCCGGCGGTGATTCTCTTACAGATGGGGATGCATTGTGCATTTGGACTTTAGGAAAGCCCCACCCTGTGCCAGGAACTAGCCTGTTTCTAATTTTGTTTTCCTGTGTTAGACCAATCGCAGATTAAAAAAAGAGTTAGTTTGACTTAATAGAGAACTTCGCCGCTATTAAACGGTGAGCTTTGACCTTCACGGAGATTTCTGTATACTGGTCTTTTGACAACTTTGGAAAACAAGTTTTCATGTTGTTGTCAATGGCAAGGAGATGAGGTTTATTTTTGGCATTCTAGCTAAGGAATAACTTGGAGTTGCTTGAAGTGACAATAACAGACCAAAAGAGTGTCTCCTGTGACCTGACTGGTAAAAAAAAAAAAAAGGAATCACTTGCAGGGTAAGAGGTGCATTGTAGATTAAGGTGACAAGATTCAACAAAGTTCAGATATTAGTCATTTTGGGCCCATGGTCCAGCATGACCAGACCACACTCCACAGAGGATAGGACCCAGGATGGGTATAGAAGTGTAGCCCAGGACCAGGTGATAGAAGGTTTTGAATATTAAAGGTTGGGATTTTATTCTGAGGCAATAGATACCAATCTCAACTAAAATGTATAAAAATAACTTGGGCAGCAACTTGAAGGATGAATTGGAGGCAGGGAGATGAGCTAGGAGACTGCACTAAACAAGAATGAAGAAATGCCATGTGCCAAACCAGGACAATGCTACCCAATAAATAATTCAATGTGACAACAGCAGATTATGTATCACCTGCACTATGCAGAACACTAGTCTATGCCATAGAGGGAATAAATATAAAGACATGTAAGACATACAGCTTGTCCTCCAAGAGGCACCCATTAAATATCTCACAAAATAAGGGGCACCTGGGTGGCTCAATCTGTTCAGTGTCTGACTCTTGATCTCAGCCCAGGTCTCAATCTCAGGGTCATGAGTTCAAGCCCCGTGTTGGGCTCTGTCTTGGGCGGGGAACCTCCTTAAAAAATATATATCTCACGAAATAATGTACAAAAGTTAAAACATAAGGTGGGCTATGACTGGTGATTAATTACCAAAAGAAAAATGCAAATACCCTTAGCTATAATCAGTCAGGAACAAAACGAAGTGGCATTTTTGATGAGATTTAAAGAATGAGTAGATTTAATAAGGATGAAAGAGAGAGAATTTGGGGTGGAGAAACAGTTTAAATTAGGGGAAAGCAAGATTAGATCTTGCATTGTACTATGACATTTTTATTTGAGAGAGAGAGAATGAGAGACAGAGAGCATGAGAGGGAGGAGGGTCAGAGGGAGAAGCAGATTCCCTGCTGAGCAGGGAGCCCGATGCGGGACTCGATCCCGGGACTCCAGGATCATGACCTGAGCCGAAGGCAGTCGCTTAACCAGCTGAGCCACCCAGGCGCCCTGTACTATGACATTTTTGAAAAGCAGATACTTTTTGTGAGAATGTATATTTGAAAGCTATTTTGTTGATTCGTTTTTTTGGCAAACATTTATGCAGGGTTTCTCTGGGCAAGGAAGATATGAAAGAGCAAAAGAAATGGTCATCTACTGAGAAGGACAGGAACAGAAAAGCTGGAAGCTCAAGCTCAAAACTAAAAGCTACACTTTATTTTTCTTAAAAACAGATTTCAGTAAGATGATCAACCAGCCTAGTCATCAGGCTCTATGAAATCTTCCTTCAGGATATCCCAGGCATCTTTCCCTTCTCCTACTATAGCCAAGCTTACACACCATGGTCGTCATTCCTTCAACCGCACCTGAATAGACCTCAGGTTCTGCGTCCTGCTTCTAACTCATTCGCTAGACTGCCATTTGAACATTGATCTCCTCACACCACTCTTATGACCAGAAAATATATGAACTCTCTGGTATCTCCCAAATCAAGGTAAACTCCAATACCTAACAATAAAAATTCTCTACTATTTGTTTTTTCTGCCTAGCCAGTCTTATTTCCTCACCACTGACCAGAAGCAACCAATGCTGGATTTTCTTATTGTTCCTGAGATTTTCCCCCATTATTAGATCAAATTGTCCCCCTTGCTTAGAACTGCTCTCCCTTCCCTTAAGTTTGACTCATCCCTGAAGGCTCAGATCAAGTCTCACCTCTGTGAAAGGTTGCCAAGGGTGTGTCAGTATCTTCCAACTAAATGGTCAATAACAGTACCATTTTGGCTTATTTTACTTAATTTTCAGAGTAATTAGTAAGGTTCCAAACATGAAAAATACTCAGTACCCATTGATCATTGATTGACTGATTAGCTCATTGATTGATTGATTCACAAACTCTTCCATAAAAATGCATGCAGTGAAAAAAAAATACAAGCAGCGATATAAAAAAAAAAATTTCAGGAGTCTGCAAAGCTTTTTATTTTGGCTCTACATTTTCGCCTTGCAAATTTAGAGGTGGGGAAAAAAAACTAAACTATGTGGATCTTGGATAAGATCCTAACATTAGATTTTCTGGAATCCCAAGTTAATCTGACATTTATATGGTTTAAAAAGTGCACTGACCTATATGGAAACTTCCCTTAGGAGTGAGGCTTGTGTGTTTCCTTAGCTGGTATATATCTTAGACATGTACAGACGTTATATCAGAGTCAAAATAATGAAAAAGAGAAAAGAGCCAAATAGGAAAGTGAGAAGAAACTATTGGCTGCCGTCTGCTATGGCGTGAGAAGGAACTTGGTTTTCTTGGTTGTTGTTTTGTCTTTCTTTTTTTTTTTTTTTTAATGCATTTGCAACTTCCAATCTCAGAGACCCATTCCACTTCCATCCCAACTGATTCTCTCAGTCTTTAGCTTCGGAACGCAACCACAAATTTTCTACAGTAAGTGCATTTTGAAACTGTGATACTGAAAAAACTAAGAAAATATGCAGTTTACATGACCTGTGGTAGAGTCTGAGAAAAACCAGATATAAAGCTTTGCTTTCACAAGCAGGTGGTGCTTAGTTGACCTTTGCCCTCTCACAGGGAAGTTTATGACTTTAAATTTCCATTTGGCACAAACCAGTGCATTCTCATACAAAGTGATTTTACAGAAGTGGCCATTGAGCATGGTAACCTCAATGTTGGGACTTAAAGTTCTACCCCTTTCTTAGTTCTTCTACTTCTGTTTTCGGATTCCAGAACTTCACAAACCCTGTAACATTCCACAAAAGTGCAAGTAAGGTGATTAACATTGTAGGATGGCTAGTAACAATAATTTCAACAACAATTTTGGTCTTCATACAACAATTTTTAGGAAAAAAAGTCAATAATCTATGTACTATAGAAAATGTTAATGTTGATGAAGTATCTCTGAACTTTGAGTCATTTCTTTAAATCCAGAGAATGTAGAAAGAGCCCAGAAACAACACTGAGGATAAAATGAGAAAAGTAGTGCTATCCAGTAAAAAAATATGCCACATATATAATTTTTAATTTTATAGCCACATTTAAAGATGCGAAAAGAAACAAATGAAGTTAATTTTAACAGTATATTTTATATAACCCAGTATAATCAGAATAGTACTATCATTGCAACATGTGATCCATATAACAAATTATTAAAGAGATAGGTTATATATTTTTTCTTATTAAGTCTTCAAATTAAGTCTTATTAAGTCTGCTGTGTGTTTACACTTACAGCATATTAAAATGCACACTAGTCACATTTCAAGTGTTCAGTAGCCACATGTGGTCAGTGGCTACCTTATTGGAGAGCATAGCAGTAAAGGCTGAGTCTGAGGTGATAGATCATAAACCAAAATAAACTTATACTTCCTGTCTTATTTTTTTTCCAATGCCCAAAATACATTTCATAGTCAGTGGTTCTCAGAATTCTTTACCACCATGTTGCCTTTAATTAGGAAAAGTGCCTTCTATTTCCCATATGAAGGCGATGAAGCTAGATTGCCACAGTTCAAATCCCACCTCTCTTACTTGCTGTGACCAAACACGGACATATTATGGAACATTTTTTTTTGTGAAGTTTTATTTATTTAAGTAATCACTACCCCCAACATGGGGCTTGAACTCACAACCCCGAGATTAAGAGTCACATGCTCTTACAACTGAGCCAGCCAGACACTAACTTCACAGTCTCTCATCTAGAAAACAGAGGAGTAATAGACTCCTTACAGGTTTTTTTGTTCTTTTAATTTTTTTTAAATAAATGGATTGATACATGCAAAATGCTTATGGCGGTGCTAGCAAACGATGTTTAATAATAATATTATTTAAGAGTTACCTATTAATACTACTTTGCATCATTTTCTAGACATGATGGAGATCAGTAAATATTGTTGACTGGAAGGCCACTAACTCAGTTAATATGAAAATCCTGACTTGAGTGAACCAGTTTCTCAAAAGAACTGACTCCTTTGCTCATTATAATTATTTTTTTTATTTTATTATGTATTTTTTTTTTTTAGAGAGCATGAGCAGTGGGGGAGGGGCAGAGGGAGAGAGAATCTCAAGCCAACTCCCCACTGAGCTCTGAGCCTAATTTGGGGCTCGACCCCCACGACCCTGAGATCATGAGCCAAAATCAAGAGTCAGATGCTCAACAGACTGAGCCACCCAGGTGCCCCTAGAATTATTAGAATTAGAATTAGAATGTTGCTTTCATGCCTTCAACAATATTCATCCAGGTACCCAACGGAGCAATGGACAAGATCTATGATCTCTGCCATCAGGGGAACTTCTGCTTCGGTGGATTGCCCCTGCATGTTTTCCTTACTTACATCTAGCACTTGGATGATTTTGTCTGCAAGTATTAGAAAACCCCAATCAAACTGGCATGAAAAATACAGAAATTCAAAGCTAGGGTAGGTACAAGTCCTGGTGCACTCAGACCTCCTGCTGTTATTCGGCACTCCCTTTCTCTCAATCCTCCTCTATACTTCAGTTTTGTCAACACAGTGGCTTCCATCATGGTCACAAAATGGTTGCCATTAGCAAGGGCAGCAATGGACACCAAAAGATTGCTTCTCCAACTATAGGGAAAAAAGTTTATTTCTTAAGTCTAATTAGATCAACTTGTTGCAGTCCAGAGAAGAAATCATACACGGATTGACTTAACGCTGTGTTTTTGAATGATCATGGGTAAGGGTATAGAATCACCAGGATTCAATACTACTCTTTAGTCTAGGAGTGGGATCATGCCCGGGGAAGGATGGGTAGCTGAAAAAATTTAGGGTTTTGTTAGAAAGGAGGAGGTGAAACTGTGTGGTCAATCAGCAGTGTTTATTACGCAATTCCAAGAGGAATTTGATTGGTATATTGTTCCCAAGTCACTGAAGGGGCAGTCTATGACTCAGTAAGCACTTGGGGATGTCACAAAATGGGTCACTGCACCAGAACACACATGATTTTTATCCTGACAGCATGAATTGTTGTCTTTATCATTTCAAACATGGCTGGAAAATATTAAAGGAGCAAATAAGTGTAATACAAGGAATAGCTTTAGAAATCTGATTTGCTGCTCCACTTCCTAAAGTTTTGTGTATGGAAATGTCCCTTCTATGAGCCACAGTTTTCTCATTCAGCTCATCACTTAGCCTCAAGTTCTGGTGAGGGTCAAAGGATAGAATGAGTGTGAAGGAAATCTGTAAGCTTTAAATGCAAAATAGAAATCATGTTATTATCATTAACAGGAAAATTCAAAGCTTTCAAGTTTGGGGGAAGGCAGTTCTCAATCCTGTATCTTTGATTTCATGGTCTTCAGTTATTGTTGATATGATTTAATATAGGCTTTACGTTAACGTATGATTTTTGTGTTCCAACTACTTAGACAACAACATGCATTTCTTTTGAATTTGTACAAACTGCTACAAAAATAAACACTTCCTCGCTCAAAATGCATTCTGCAAAGGTTAAAAGGAAAACATGTAAATATTCTAGGTGGGACTGAACAAAAAGATTTTTTTTTTTTTAAGATTTTATTTTTAAGTAATCTCTACACCCAACATGGGGCTCAAACTTAGAACCCCAAGATGAAGAGTTATATGTTCTACTGACTGAACCAACCAGGTGCCCCTAAACAGGAGCCCTACTTCATTTATCCTACCTATATCCTACATATTCTTCAAGACCCAACTCACATTCCCCAGCACGCCAGCTTATCAATCTTTGCCTCCAGTACTTCATTCAACAAAACCTTGCTGAGTACCTACTGTGTGCAAAGCACTGGGGATACCAGGCTGAATAAAAGAGAGAGGTTTCCAGCCCCTTGTGGAACTGACATTCCACTGGAGTCAATGGATAACGAACAAGTGAATAAACAAGATAATTCTAGATTATGACAAATGCCTATGAAAGAAATAAGCTAATCAGTCAGATAGGAAAGAGATGGGGTGGTCCGGGAAGGCATATTTGAGCTGTGTAGTGTTGTTAGATGCTCCCTGAACTTGTGTTGACTGACCGGTTAAACCAAAGCCCGGTTCTGCTTTGCAACAACAAGTCCTCTTTAAATAAGAGCCTTTGCACTTGTTTTAGCTAAGCCATAATTTTTATTAATTCCAAAATAATTTTTACCTATAAAAAGGATAATTTTTTAACCAACGTATTACATTCAGTATCTTTTAAGTTCTAAAAAATAAAAATCCCTTGAGGTATTTCTCAAATCACTAAGGATACCACGGTTATCCAAATTTTCTTGCTAATGTTATTTTGATGCTCCAAGCTACTCCCCTTCTGATTATTTGTTAATGGTTTATTTCCTCAGGTAGCATCCTGCTTCTCTCCCTAGTGCCCTATCATGTTGCTGACATTATCACCACCCACTCCATCCCCTGGGCTAAAAACCTGCCACCATATACCTTTTTGTGAAAGTTAGAAACCTCACCCACTCACATTACTGAGTCACTAAACCTCAGAGATTTGCCTCAGAGCTCTACTCCTTA